CCGGCGGACCCGCCCGCCCCCCCCCCCCCCAGCACTTTGCAAAGAGCAGCAGGAGGAAAGGGAGGGAGCAGGAGCTTCTGGACCCCCCTACTCCCACGCTGCCCCCCAGGACCTCTGCCCCAGGGTGAGCGCGGAACCCCGCGCGCCGCCGAGGTGTAATAAATAAATAAAGCATGGTCGCATCTCCGCTTAGATCAGAGCATAAATGAAAAACAAATCCTTGTTTAATGCGGCCCCCAAACAGTCTCCCACATGCCATATGGTTTGCTTTCCTCGCTCAAAACAAATATTGTTCGGAGATGTAATTAGAATTCTTTTCATCTCCTCTGGAGAGATTATTGTTCCTCTGTAAAGACGGCCCCAGCGTGCAGGTCACCAGCAAATGTTATTGTCACAATCTGTGGCGGCTTCTCCCCAGCATGGCACGGGGACAGGGGCTGAGCCCCCGGTGCCAGCACAGCCGGGCACGGGGCTACCAGCCCCCCCGCAGCCCCCTGGTGCCACTTTGGCCACAGAGGGAGGCAGGGGCTGCGTGGCGTGGGGACAACCTGCCCTGTCCCCACCATCCGAGGAGCATTGCTTTGGGGCTGGCAGCAGCACTGGGATGAACCTGGTCCAGCTGGAATCTGCTCCAGCGTGGGGCCGGCCAGTCCTGCCTGTCCTGAGCTGGCCACAGAGGCTGGGTCAGGGTCCTGCTGTGTCCACACCAGGTGCCCTGTGCCCACCCATCTTCACCAGCCACCTCGTGCCCCCGGTGCTGCCAGCTCACAGCCACTATGCAGGTCCCTCTGGTGCCACCAGAGTCCCACCCGGGACACGCATCCCACCAGGAGCAGCACGCAGCTCCCCGGGGCTTCTCTCCAAGCCCTGATCCCCTCTGAAAACGAATTATTATCAGCCCAGACGGAAAAGTTAATACCTTTAATATCTCCCCGTCCCTCTGGATGCATGGAAATCCCATATACTTATCGCTTTCCTTTAATCCATCTTAGCAGGGGAACTGAGGGAAATACCCAACATAAGGGTTTAACAAGCCCTGGTCTCCCGGTGGGGTTCCCAGCACGGCTCCTGCACCCCCGTTTGCCCGGGATGCCACACCAGCAGCTCTCTGGCTCCGTGCTGGAGAGAAGTGGGAATCCCGGGCCAGGGAACACCTCCGGTGGTCAAGGGTTGTGGGAAGAGCAGGAGGGTCCGTCACTGCCCGGTGCTGGTTGCCCCTCGGCAAGTGTCCTGTGGTGGCTGTGCCAGGGCCATTAGGTCCAGCCGTGACCCAACGCTTGCCCACATGTTTCCCAGCTGTGGACCAGGGCTTTTTCTCCACAGGATTCCTGATGGCAGAAGTGGTGGCCGAAGCCAGAGGGTCCCCACAGACCCCACTCCAGCCCCCTGGAACCCCACGGTGCTGGTCAGGCATGTGGAGCAGGGGTGGGGGCAATGGCCTGAGGACTCCAGCCACGTCCAAATTACTCTGAACACAATTAAAATCTGCTCCCACAGACGGGAAGTTGGCAGACGAGCAGAGAAAAGGCTTGATTGAATCAAGCGCCTGCTTTCTTTCAGATTTTAATTGGGAAGCGTATGTATTAATTAACCCCAGTGCTTGGCCACCTCAAAGTGTATCCAGAGGAGGGCAAGTCCTGCTGATGGACCTGCCGGCCCCACAGCAGCCCCTGCCAAGGAGCCCCCACCCACAGCATCCCTGGGGACCACAGACCCCACTGCTGTGTCTGGGGCCCCGACTCCCCCCCAGTGCCTGACTCTTCCCCACCCTGGCTCCCTCCTCCCCATGCCCAGCCCTTCCCCACTTCCCCAGTGCAGCAATTGTGAGTGACAAGCTGGAAACTCCAAACAGACAGTCCATAAACCATCCCATGAAAGAGGGATGGATGGATGGACAATAAGGTCTGACAGCAGGAGGAAAGGTGAGGTTGGTACCTCCCTCCCTGCACATCCCACCCCTTCATCCCCCTCCTCTGCTTCACTTCCCTCCCCCTCCATCCCAGTTTCCCACCCCAGGGTCCCTCTGTGGGGAGAAGGCTCCAGGATCCCTGTGCCAAGTGTGTGGGCACTGGGCTGTGCTGGCCCCCCTGGCCCCAGCAGTCACCCCAGGACACCCCAACTAAGGGGCAGCTGGTGGCCACCACGGTCCCCAGTGCCAGAATCACAACAGGACAGTCCCACATGGCACCACGAGAGTGGGACATGGTGGACAGCCCAGGAGAGGTGTCAGGAAAGCTCGTTCCCTAGGGATTCCACTTCCTAAGTATGGATGAGTTTCAGGTGAGCAAGACCCAACCTGGGGCTGGACACACATGGGTCACCTCCTCACAGCTTCTCAGCTGGGAAAGATCATTTGATGTATTACAGGGAAAAGCAATAAAGGCTTCTAATAATTGCAGGTAACCATGTCCTGAGCAGAGCACCCGGAGCCTGGGAGGAGGGTAGTGAGTGGACAGCCCAGGAGAGGTGTCAGGAAAGCTCGTTCCCTAGGGATTCCACTTCCTAAGTATGGATGAGTTTCAGGTGAGCAAGACCCAACCTGGGGCTGGACACACATGGGTCACCTCCTCACAGCTTCTCAGCTGGGAGAGATCATTTGATGTATTACAGGGAAAAGCAATAAAGGCTTCTAATAATTGCAGGTAACCATGTCCTGAGCAGAGCACCCGGAGCCTGGGAGGAGGGTAGTGAGATAGGAATGGATGCATCTGCCACCATCAGCAGGACAGAGCAGATGAGACAGTGAGATGAGAGACAGACGGACAGACAGACAGAGAAACTCCATGTGACGGGTCAGCGAGAGACGGGAGATACTCAGGGGATGGTTCATCTCTCCTGCCTCTGCTGAAAAATGAGCAGGGTCTGATGGAGGAGGATGGCAGGTCCTGGGGGAGGAACAAAACCCTTTCACTGCGAGAGCCACCGTGGAGAATCAGGGCTGAATTGTTGAGGAAGGAACACTTTGGTGAGGCGAGGAGGAGGCAGAGGCATCTACCTCAGGGCTCGGTGTTTGCAGGAACAGATGACCAGTGTCATCAAGTCCCCTGGTCCGTCCTTTGCCCAGGATGGGGACAGTGGTCACTACCAGGTGGGCTGGTGGAGCCAGACCCCACTGGGGAAGCCAAGAGCTCAGATGTTTGCAGAGCTGCTGAACTACAGCACGAGCATTTAACTGTGCTTTTTACAGTGTCACCAGCTCAGTGACCAGCTCAGCTCCAGCACAGCCCTGTCTGCTGGGCACCATCCCTTCCTGCACTGGTCTGTGACCAGACAACCAAGTATCAGCCAACCTGGCCCCCCCATCTGAGTGGGTGGCAGACACAGAAGCAAAGGTGCCCAGCCCCGCAGCTGCTGGTCAAAGTAAAATAAAGAATTGCTTTAATCAGTGCTTATGACCCTGCCCCATGCTCAGGCAGCGCACTGGCAGCTTCAGAACAGCCTCTGGAAATGATGGGAATTTGGGGACCCTCGGGAGGCCCACCAGAAGGGAGGTCATGGTGGTGGTGGTGGCAGGGCACTAGGACAGTGTGTGGGGGACAAGCAAAGCCCCCTGCCATGGGGCCATCAGGAGGATCCACCTTTGGGGAGGGACAGAGGGACTGGTCCCCATCCCTCCAGCAGCACCACATGCACTCCCTGACGGACACCGTGGACCCTGGCCATCCAGGCAGAGGTGATGTGGTGGGGACGGGCTCCGATGCGGGGACCTGGGCAGAGGAGATCTGCCCCCCCACCCCGGGCAGCCCCAGCCATGAGCAGCCCCACAGAGGGACACAGACCCTGCTCGGGGGCGGCCGAGCTGCCCAGACCCCACTCCCATCAACACCATCTGCAGGGACAAGGACAGCCAAGCCTCCAGAGCCGACCAGCGGCCCGGCCCCCTGCCCCCCCCTGCCCCCCC